ACAGTAATTAATACATTGCATGTTGTTGTCTTTGTAGTAGTTATTTAGAGGACAAGATGCAGACATGGTATTTTATCTAAACAGTATTAGTACCTTTCTTCTCAGTAAACTAAGAGAAAGTAGCTGCATATCTATTCTATCTTGTGTGTGTGTATATATATGTATATATATTTTTTTCTTTTTTTAAAAAAAATAAGGTTAAACTGTTTTTGCCTTTAGAGTTATTAGAATACTTCCATCTTCTAGGTGTTTTGGTTGGCCGGTTACACTGAGTTTTATATTGCGCCTTGTGTTGATTTCTGTGTCTGGTAGGGTAGAAGTAAAATTTCATTTTTTTGCATGTAGATTCCCAAGCGACCCACTCAGTCAGAAGACCATAGCTTAGTCATTGTTGTATAATGACCTTTTTTTTTTTTTCTTAAATGACAACTAAATGTCATGGGCTGTTTGTTTTACTTTAGTAGTCTATTATCTTTTTATCAGTAATATCTTAATTACTATGGTTTTACAATAAATACTGCTATCTCGAGAGCATCTGTTTCCACTATCTTCTGCGAATGTCTTCATTATCCTTGGTACTTTGTTTCTCATATGCATTTTAGAATCCACTTGTTAAATCGGTCACATGTGTATGCATGAGCACACATGCTTTAATTATTTGGAGTGGGATTGCATTACATCTCGGAGATTAATACAGGGAGTTTCTCTATGTCTGTAATATTCAATCTTTGGCATAGTCCTCTGTTTAATGAGATTTTTGTTTCTGTAATTTATAGTTTTCAAGATGAGCTCTTGCACTTTCTGAATTTTATTCCAGTTTTGATAATATTTTGATGCTTTTGTATATTACACCACTTTTAATTAATTATTTTTTTATTTTTATTTTTTGCGGTACCAGGGATTGAACTCAGGACCCTGCATGTACCAGACAAGCGCTCATTCTACTGAGCTATTGCCTTGGCCCTTACTACATCACTTTTAAAGTTTTATTTTCTTTCCTTACGTTTAGGAATGGACTTCATATTTTATATATCAACACTATGAACAGTAAATTTTTTCTATTTTTAAGTGATTTAATTGGAGGTCATAACATATATTCAAAAAAGTATAAGTTTTAAAACATGGATTCTCATGAGTTTTATTATTTTTTAAAATGTTATTTTATTTTATTTTATTTGAAGAGTAAAAACAGAAGCTAAACGAAATAGCAGAAGCAAAGACAGAATCAGGGTAAAATAAATCAAATGCATGTTATGGATTTTGGATAACTAACAATGTTCTATTATGTATTTTTATTTTCAAATCTGTTGCTCAGTTTAACAGATATAGTTATGCAGGATTGGACAAATAATTGAATATTACTGCTTGCTTTCAAGAAACCTTAATTTTGTTCCTAATGAGTTTTATAAAAGATGTATAAGCCCATAAAACGTCACAATTAGGAAGTGGCAGTTCTGTAATGTCTGGGTTTCCCTGTGCTTATGTAACAACCCTCCTTTTCACACTCTCCTGAAGAATGGGTAGAAGATGTACTTTGCCTTTAGCCTTTTCTCAACTGATGATTTTTAAATTCACTCATCTTCTTATGTGTATTGTTAATTTGTATTTTGGTAATTTTTGGTTTCTTGTTAAACCTGGGTAGTTTTTGTTATGTGTGGACGGTCCACTTCATGCCAGTGAGTTATAAGTCTGTCCTTTCATCAGTAATAAACTGATTTGATTACTGTAGTTATAGATTAAATATTGAACTTATGCCCAGGTCCCAATTTTTTTGAACTCTTCAAAGTTGTTTTGATTATTCTAGGTTATTTATATTTGAGTATAAATTTTGCAGTCACTTTGTTAATTTCTATTTGAAAAGCCTATGAATAATGTTCAGAATTGTGTACAATTTATATATCAGTATGGAGAAAATTGATATCTTGGCAACATTGAGCTTTTCGATCCATTAACATTGTGTATCTGTCCATTTTTTTAGAATTTAAGTTTTTTTTAGTAATCCTTTATAGTTTTAAGTTTGCAGGCGTACCAAATAAATAAAAGTTGTTTGTGGGTCTTCATCATACTTTGATGAATTTATCAATAAGTATTTAATACTTTATATGAAATTATGAATACAATTCTATTTTGAAATTATTTTTCTAGTTGCTTATTGGTATTATAATAGAAATATTGAGTTTATATGTATTTCGCCTTCATCCTGAGACTTTTACAGACTCTTTAATTATGTGCAAAGGGTTTATAAAACCTTCATTTTTTTTTAATTTAATTTTTTAAAAGTATATATTTGCTATGTGCCTCAGACTCGTGGTGGTCCCCCTGCCCTCAGCCTCCGCAGCGCGGGGATTACAGGAGAGCACTCCCATGCCCGGTGTGGGCAGGCCAGCGCTTGCCTGAGCCTGGCCTGAGCTGCGCTTGGCCGTCCAGCCAGCTCCCGGCCCGGGGTCCCTCTTTTTCTTTCTTTCTTTCTTTCCTTTTCTCTCTCCCCCTTTCTCTCCCTCCCTCCTTCCCTCCCTCCCTCCCTTCCTTCCTTGTTACATTACCTTTTTTGAAGAACAGTAGTCCTTCGGTATTTTACGGTTCGATGTTCCTGGACTCACTGTTTTGCAGGTTTTAAAAAAGTATTAATGAAATTATTTATGGCGGTTTTTTCACTGTGTTGAGGGATTTTGCAGTGCTGTACGGTATACATATGTTGTTAAAATTACATAGGTTTACGAGTTTAGAAAATGATTAAAACATTAGAAGTGCTTTTAAAGTGTGGGAAGTGTTTATAAAGCCTTTATATATTAAAATAAGCATGACGTCGCTGCTTCACTAGTTTTCACCTGTCGTGGGGTGTGCGGAATGGGACCCCCAGGAGGAGTGAGGGACTGCTGTCCTGCCTTCCAGCCCTCATTCCGCCTGAACACCTTACTTACCACCGAGGCTGGGACCTCTGAAATCGTGTGAGCATCAGTGGTGAAAGCAGGGTCCCTTGTCTTGCTGTCAGTCATAGGGGAAACACCTGGTCGTACGTATGTATTGGGGGAAATGAAGGTTTTTCATAAAAGCTTTCTATTAAAGAAATGTCCTCGTTGTAGTTCGCTGAGAATATTTGTCGTGAATGAATGTTGAAGTGTGTTATGTTTTTTCTTGAATCTGTTGTCACAAACGTTATTTTCCAGTATTGGGGATTACATGGCCTCTGCCCAGAGCTGCATCCGCAGACCCTATTTTTTATTATTTTGAGACAAAAGTCTATCCGAGTTGCTAAGTTGCTGGGGGTGGGCTTTAAATTTGTCATCTTCGAGCCAGTGATGGTGATTCAGTGTCCTTTGCTTTGTGGGATTGGTGTGTTCTGTAAATGCCCTGATTCCACTTTATTTTAGTGTAGATTTTGTGGATCATTTAAAGTATGTGATAAAATAAATCAGTAGTCTCCTAAAAAAATATGCTGTCTTCTTGCCTCAGCCTCCCAGTGTACAAAGACTGCAGGCATGAACCACTGTATCTATACTCAGATGTTCACAGGCTTCTTTTATTCTGTATCTTGATAATATGACAAATTACAGAAATTTGACTAATATTTAGCTAACATTGATTTCTTAGGGTAAATCTCACCCTGTTATACTGTACTGTCCTTGTGTAATTTCATTTGCTAATATATTGTTAATTATTACAGCTTTATCATGAAGAATATTTTCCAGAGTTATGTTTTTGCCTGGTTTGGCCATCACTTACATTGACGTTATAGAGTTAATTGGGGAATTTCTCTTGGATCCTGTTTCTCAAAAAAGTTTGCATCAGCTGTTGTTTTTTCTTTTTGAAATTTACATGGAATTTACTAGTGAATTATCTGTATCTGGAGCTTTTTGTGAGTGATTTTTGTAATAGAAATAGGGCTACTAAAATTTCCTATTTAATATTTCGCATATCATATTCTACAGTACTAGGGATTACATGGCCTTGCACAGAGCTAAGTTCCTAGCCCCCAAATCAGAGACTTCATTTGTTCATGTTGTCCAGTTATCAACCAAGTTTTTCATACTAATTTATTATCCCCACTCTAATGCCAGACCCTGTTATCTGTCTTAGGATTCAAGGTGATATTCTCTGTTTAGTTAGTTGCTGATGTTAGTGACTTTTTCAGGTTGATTTGGGTGTCTGGATGTATTTTCTCCCGTTCTTCCAGTTACATGTGCTTTTAGATTTTCTCTGGGTTACTTCAATGCGGTTCCTTCTCTGTTTAGCCATGTTGAAAAGTTCATGTTAACTTTTAAAAAAAATTTTCTTTCTTCTATTTTTTCTACATTGAAGTTGGTCAGTTTTATTGATCTTTGAATTTTAAGCAATAGGCTTTTGGTTAGAATCAATTCTATGTTTTGTCCATATTCTGTTTTCTTGATTTCTGTTCTTTCACTATCTTTCAGCATTTTATGACTTGAAGTAGATTTGTACCTAAGAGAAGTTAAGGATGTTCTGGTCTTTCACTTTAAATGGAAGAAAAAGTAGAACTCATACATTGATAGGCATTCCTTACTCTCTTTCCCTACAATGGTTATCTCTGTCGGTGCTCTTATAATTACCTGTAATGGTTTTTACCCAAGACTGCTTTGAAAGAAGATTGTGGATATATTTTGAAATTATGAACCGGATGTATTTTTGAAGCTAATGACAAAGAACTACAGAAATATGAAAAGCTAGTTAATGCATTTCTCTTACATATGGCTGACAGTTTTGAAATTATAACATTGAATACTAGTGTACTAATGTTGAACAAATACATTTGTCTACTTTTGTCAATTGCAGCTATCAGAAGAATAGTTACAAATTCCAGTGAAATCTTCCTTGAAGGCTATATGGAAAAATACATTTATGGAATTTGGCTGTTCTGTTTACTTCAACTTAGACTTCTTTTTAAATATTGATATCCCTTCTTATAAGACTGTATATCTCTATAATACATCCTTTATTCAAGTAATAATTGATAACTCATGACTTTTCCCCTTTACTTTAAGCTACTTCCGTGAGAGAAGAACTATTACTACCTCAGCTGGGAAATCTGTGCCATTGCCAAGTGAGTCTCTGTCTCTGCAAACTAGCCTTCCTTTAATAGCCTTGAGAGTATGTTAAAACTGTGATTGAAAAGGCAGCCCACCAGTGGTGTAGGAAATGGTGGGAATAATGTTCTGTGGGTGTTCACAGTACTCAGATACTTTTAAAGAAAAGTGAATAAAGGACTACAATATACGCTAAAAACCCCTTGAAATTTGCATCTGCTTATGTACAAAACTTTTTAATAGTGGTTGCTTTTGTCATTATCCACAGCAGAAGGCATTTATCTAAATTAAATGCTTTCTGGCAATGTGCGCTACAGGGCAAAAATAATATGGAAAACGGTTTTGCCATGGTAACAGGAGAGGGCTGACATGGTTGCTCTGATAAATAGATGTGGGAGAAGTTTTTCTTTCCTTTTGGAAATTCTGCTTATACCAAGTTCAGAAACATTCTTCTAGATAGTTTGAGTGATATCTAGCTTTTATGTTGGTGAACTGTTTATAATTGTTCATTAAACACTATAATAGAATTAAGATCCAAACTTTTCGAGTATTTTCTTATTTAGGAATTATTATTCCAGGTGACGCAGTGGCAGTTTCTGTTCTGTGTAAGCAAAATTCTTTTTTTTTTTTTTTTTTTTTAAATTTTATTGATAAACATATAGCAATGAGACAGTTTCAAATCAAATCGAAAGTACAGTTTCAACAAATAATACACTGCATATATTCTTCTTAGTGGTTAATTGCTGTACAAGATGCAGACTTGTGATCCTACTTACAAACACCATTAGAAAAAATCATTCTATTCATTAAGAGAATGCAACTATATATCTATCCCAACCACTTTGAATACACAGATACAAAATGGACATTCATAGTTATACCCCAATTTTTTTTTAAGTTCCGTTGTTGAATATTATAGGTGTGTAAACTCAGCAAAATATTCTAAAAGAGTACAGAAGCCCATAATAGCATTGGGTCTTCTGTTTAATTGGCAATGTCAGAAATTATTGACGTGAGTCCCCCACAGCTCAACATAACAACATGGCTTTACTTCCTATATTTCATCTTCATACTTTTCTACTGGATGGTTAAGAAAAATTCTTGATTATATTAATGGGAATCTTAAAAGGTAGCAGGGATATGTACATAGGTTATCATTTAATAATTGTTATTGTGATTATGAAATAAGTGGGCTGTTGAGTGAATTACATTGGGAACTCCACGGGCTGAGGAAATTTATGGGATAAGAAGCATTCTCAACTCTCCCAATGTAAATATTAAATTGTTTTTTGCTATAAAATAATTAAAACATGCTTTTATTTCCTTTTTGCATAATTTACTTTATTTCTTTTTCCATTCTCATTCTGTAATTCTCTCAAAAGATTCAAATGAGGAGAATTCATCTTCCATCTTTCCTTATGGAGAGACGTTTCTCTTCCAGAGACTAGAAAATTCCAAGGTTAGTCTCATACATTTATTTTTTTCTCCATAATCAGTTATTACTATTGCTTCTGTGTGCCTTTTCATTTTGCTGCAACTTTTTTGAAGAATGCATTATATTGAAGAAAATTTCCCCAAAATAAAATTTCTGTTTTGTAAAACTATTGGAAAGCTGTGTTTTCAGATTTATGTCTTAAAAACACATTTTTCATTTTGAGGTTAAGAGTAGAGGATATTGGGTTTTAACAATTCAGTGGAAGATAAAACTAGCTTATAAAGAATAAAGAAGAAAATAAAGTATAAAGCCCTTTGGTACTCTTAGATTTTGCTTTGATTTACATCCAAATGCATTCAGAGTTTTCAGACATCAAATTGTTTATGTATTTTAATTCTATATCACTTGTGCTTTCTTTTGTAATGCTTGTACCCTTTGCTATTTTATTTAATTTCTTGGTCTTGTTGCAGTATAAAATACAGAAGAAGAATAGAGAGACTTAAATTTTGTTCTTGGTTAGCATCTTTTTTTCTAAATTGAAATGATTAGTGATTTAGTAAAAATGAAAAAGGCATCAGAAGTTGTTAATCTAAGTTGATTTTTAATAAAAATTAAATTCACACAATTAGAAATTTCTGTAATTAAATTCATATATATATGGAACATTGTGTTTCTACACCAAAAAATATTCCCAAATCATAAATCAAAAATCTAAATGTATGTGTGTATTTATTTATAGAAGAGGTCTATAAAGAATGAATTTTGGACCCATGAAGAAACTCTCAAAGGGGAAACCAGCACTTCTGTGAACTCTTTTTTAATCAAATCAAGGTATGAAGGCTCGACTGATAATGATGAATTCTGTAGGATAAATTTTTTTAAAACGTTGCTGTCTTGCTTATAGTATGGTATCATATTTCTAAGAAGATAATTTATATGGATAATTTCAAGCTTTTATTTTCTATATGTCTCCATGACAGCACCCTTTTTAGTGACTTAATTATGGTTTGTAAATTGAGTGGATTGTGATATTCTACGGTAGATTATTTTTGTTCTATCTTGATAAACATTTGTTCCCTCCCCCAAACAACAGATATGTAGTTACGTTGATTAAATTTAAAGGTGGGAAATTAATTTATTATAAAGGATAAGGAGACACTGTAAAGTAACATTGACATGGAATTTTCCCAGTGTTAGTATGTCCTTTCTATTAGTATTTCTTCATTGATAGGATTGATAATTATCCAGTTACTTGGGTCACAAAAGTTACACAGTAGTTTTAAGGTACTGGCTCTCTCAGTTTTGTTGGATTTTGGCATATTGAATAATTATTTTATGATAATTGTTATATTTATCTTTCATTTATCAGGAGTAAAACTGTTATGGGTTCCCTTAAGTTATCCCCTATCTTTCTTAGGCACTTAATATGAACCCATTATAATACAAAATGTGGAAGGGCTAGGCTAAATCATGCTTTAAGGAAGTAATAGTTTTTAGAACAGTGCATCCACGAATATGTAATCTTACCCCTAGATATGTATTTCATTGATTACCAGAACCTCCTTCTAATGGAATTTTATTTACATAAATAAAGGAATCTGTTGTATTATTTCTTAAATCTATATGACTATGCTCAGCGATTGTGAATGTATTCTAGTGTTTCATTGATACAGTATTTTATCTTAATGTAGCTTTTACGTTCTGAATTTACACCAACTTTTAAAAATTATTTTTGGCTACTAATGTGGTATAGTATTTGTTGCCAGTAGCGTTAAAACTCTGAGCAGTCAGGTGTACTTTCTGTTTTATCATATTATAGTAGAACATATGCTCCTTGGACTATAGCAAAGTACAAAGGGAGTAACAAGTTGGAAATGAGGTCTCCAAACAAAGGGAGTAGTTCATGATGTTTGCCAGAGAACAGAGGCTTTATTGACCACTTCTGTAATTATTGAGGTTCAAGTTGGGAGGCAGAGTATGGTCAGACCCCATCCTAGCCACCTATACTCAATGACCTAAAACAAATGGAATCAGATTAAATTATGAGAAAGTACTTCTCCTTATGTTTAAATTGGTTGTTTGTAGCTAAAAAGGTAACTGACTGGTTAAATCATATCAGTACTTTAAAATTTTAATAATTTTGCTTTCCACTTAGTGTATATGATAATAGAAAGGAGAATACAATTGAAGACAAAGTAGAAGATATTTGGATACCTCGAGAGGATAAAAACAATCTCTTACAAGACTCTGCTTCTGAATCAGAATACTCAACAGTAGAAGAATGCTTTCAGAGTTTAAGAAGAAAAAACTCAAAGGCCTCTAAGTCTAGGACTCAAAAAGCATTAAATGTGGACCCTGTTAACAGGCACAGTTATCCTTTCAACTCAACAAGTGGACATGTGGAGCCATCAGCTGTTTCCTCAAGTGCCATCTCTCCCTATGCATGTTTCTATGGATCCTCTGTGATGAAGGTTAAGTCAGGATGGTTGGACAAGCTCTCTCCTCAAGGGTATGTATGTATTCCTTGTTGTGTCTTATAAAGAGCACGTGTTGATAATTCAAGTTTATTCATCTCTAGACTTGCTTGGTTTCCATATTCCTTTCAACACTCCACACACATCAAGTTTTTCGGGAGTTGCAGTATACTTGTACAGTTGTATGCTTTTGACGTATGGGATAAGTGTAATGCAGGGTGACAGCCAGCTTCTGAATAACACCTTGAGGCCTCGTGTCATGCTCACACATCTAGATTCTTGACGTTAGTTTCTAACTTCACATCAAAATGCATTCTCCTGTGTCCCACTTTGTAGCAAAGAAGAGCAACACGGACTGAGTTAGTATTACTCGGCCCACACCGTGTGGGTTTTGCTCCTATCATTACATTGTTCTCTCTGAGAATACAAGGCTTATTGTACTTGAGAAAAGCACATCGTTGTTAGATTTAGGTCTTCTCTGTTATTGATACATTGTTCTGATTCTTGTGTGTTGCTCAGAATTCCTTGAGTAGCATCCTGTAGATCAGACATGTTATTTCAGATGTTTGTAAAGAATCTTGCAAGTATTTTATAATATTGAAAAATCTGTGGAGAGGGATATATTTTAAAATGAAAATTATTTTCTGGCATCCCGATTTGGGGATTTTTTAATTTTTTTTATTTTTTTATCTTTACTTGAAATGTTCCTCAGAAATTACTAAATTTTGGAGGGATTTAACTTCTCATATTTTAGAAGCTAATGTTGTGAGTTCCTATAATATGCTGGCTTTTTGTACTGTTTTCCTGAAATGTGCCTCATTTCTATATAGGCTTGGTTCAAATTAAAATAATTTTAGTTAAAAAAATATTAAAAGAAGTTTGTGATGACTGGTAGATACAAGAATTAGGCTTTTTCCCTATCTTTTGTTTTGGTTATCTAGGGTGTAGGATAACCAAAAGACAGAGCCTTTAAACTGAGCCACATCCCTAGCCTAATTTTTATTTTTATTTTTTATTTTGAGATAGGCTCTTGCTAAATCTCTTAGGTTTCCAGAATGGAGCTCAAACTTCTCATCTCTTTGCCTCAACCTTCCACAGTGCTGAGATTACAGGTATGCACTACTAGCCTGGTTGGAATTACATTTCTGTAAAAAGCAAAAGCCAGACAAAGTATGATCGTGCATGCTTGTAATCCCGGCACCTGGGAAGCTGAGGCACAAAGATTTTGAATTTGAGACCATCCTAAGCTACATAACAATGTGAAGCTGACCTGGGCTATATAGTGAGATGCTGTCTCAAAACAACACAAAAAGAAAAAAAGTGCGACAACCTATAATTTTGTGGTTAGTAATTATATAATTAACATATTACTTTGTATCTTTGCATCTTTTTTTAACATATTCAGTACAGGGTCTACAGGGTCTAACAACACAGATTGGACTCATAGTGATCATCCTGTTATCTGTCTCCCAAATGCTGGGATTACAGGCACATGCCACCACGCCAAGCCTCGTGCACCCCAGGGGCGGGGCTGGCATGGCACTCTGGGAATGGAACCCAGTCCCTCTGTCTGCCCAAGCCGGTGCTTTAATCCACTGAGCTATCTGCCCTATCTTTGAAAAATTTAGATTTTAAAGTAGTGTGCTTATTATCAGTTGTCTTGTGTCACTCTATTTGGTTACATTATGATGACAAGGTAGTCAAGTGTGCATTCTGTGATTTTTATCAGTCATCAGTAAAATTGGTAAATGCATCTTTAAATACTAAAAGTGTTAGTCAGCAGCCAAGTATAAACATGTGTGGAACGCAACAGTGAGACTGGATGTTCTGAGAATTTTCACTTCAATAAAATTTAGGTCTTTCAGGAGTCCCAAGGGCTCTGTCAGAGTATCACGGGAAGCACCGCAGAGTGCGTGTGGAGCATGCGGTGGCTGGCATCTCCTGGGCGGTATCTGGTGGTACATTGCACTTAACGGCTTGTTATGGGGGGGCACACTGAAATGGCCTGACCACTTTTGGCCCTCTTTGGGACCACTATATTTTTTTTATTCTCTTTTTCTTTATCAGATTTGATGATATACTCTTTCTAACTCTGCCCAATGTTAGATGAGAAAGGGTCTTTAAATTTGTATTTTTATGTTATCAAGAGATTGAAGGGGTTTTGGCTTAAAATTTTTTTCCTGGATATAAGTATGAAAAGGATTTTTTTTCCACAAAAAGTTTAAAAAGACTTTTCCATAACTGTACTGCTATGACTTAAACACATGTTCCTGCCATAAAGTATGTATTTATTAGATTCTCAATAAAATTTGAGATTTTTCCCTTTCTTGTTAGACTCCATAGGTTATTTCACGTAAGATGCTCCTTAATTAGACCAAGTGATGCCTGCCCATTCCTTGCGCAGCAGTTTTAACATGGACCTTGGGACTGGTACAGGGATTCCAGACCAACATGGAATGTGAACTCCATACAGCAGGTGCCAACAGAAAATTTCTGTTAAGGGTCAAATAGTAAATATTTTAACTTTTATTATGCTTTCTTTTGCAACTGCTTAGTGTAGTATTTGTAGCACAAAAACACATTAGTATCATGTAAACCAATGGATAAAACTTTATAAACCATGTGTGGGCCAGATTTGGCCTGTGGCCTATACAACCATTAGCCAGCTTACATGGTCAACTAAAATCTTATAACCAGTGTCCTCTATCTCCTGTGATCCCCCAGTAAAAAATATAACCAGATCACAACATAAGGAAAATAATTTCTGTTACTCCCTTAATTATAAAAACAATGAAAAGCAGGGGTCCATTTTGGGGGCCTCTACTCTTGTTCTTTTTACATGAAATTCTCCCAGAAAGTATGGTTTGGATCCCATCTTTCTCAAATTCTATTTAATCAAAAAATAATTAAAATTACAACTGTCCCTTTATCCCATTGCCCCTTGACTCTTTTGTTTTCTTTGGGAAGCTTCATATGGTAGAAGATTTATTTAATTTACGTGAGTTGCATAAGAGACTATCATGAGGGCCAGCCAAATAACTCAGTGGATGGAAGTGCCTACATAGGCAGATGCAGTGGCTGGGGTTAGATCCCCCTGGGGCGTGCTGAGATGGCAGTTGAGACAGGGCTTGGTGGCTCGTGCCGCTAATCCCAGCTCTTGGGAGGCTGAGCACAGGTGGGTCACTACGAGTCTGATCTATGATCTATGTCGTGAGGCCCTGAACTCCCTGTACACCCTGTAGGTCCTTACTAAAATACAAAAAAAAAGGGGGGAGACCATCATGGCTTGTGTGCAGATGCCCCCCCAACCTCATACCGTTTTAGATGGGGCGTGTTTGCAGGTGGCTGAATCTAGAGTATGTGATTGATTCATGCTGGAATGAAGGGTTCTGGAGTGAAGGATGGGTGACTGCTTTATTAGACTGCTGATTGTATTGGCAGCGCCCTAATTACTGGAGACTGGCCGTAACATAAGGGAGAGAAGAGGTTTGTCCTCTGTCTGTTGTTGCTTTTGCTGTCTTCTACCACCGTGAACTTTGCCCCTCTGCCATGTGCCGCCCTGCCTTGCAACCAGCCAGTTGTGGACTGAAACCTCCACAAATTGTGAGCTAAATTGTGAGCATCTGCCCTTTAAATGTGGGTGCTGGGTGTTACGTCTGACCTGTCCCAGCAGTGGGAACAGTAACTAAGACGGGCAGTGGCTGATGTTGCTTTTGTTTGCAGAAAGTCACTTAGCACAGGGTAGATATGTAGTATATTATTGAAAGAATCACTAAACGTATCAGCCTTAGATGTTACTGTTTCTTTTGATTTTTCTAAAAAAGCAATATTTTTTTTACCACAGGACTTCATAGTATAAATTACTGAGCTCAATACTGTATTAATGGATGAAAATATGCAGCGCCATTGAGAACACTGGTGCATATTAAGAGTAGTGAATATGGTGCTTTTGTTATAATTATGTTTGCCCTTTGAAGACATGTATGCAAAGAATTAGGATATATTTTTTTAAAAAGCTGCACGTAAGTAGAAATCAGTAGTGTTTGAAATTGTTCTCGATTGTGACAGTAAACAGAGTAATAAAATGCCTGGTCTGCACTTATTTTGCCATGGTTGAGTGTCTGTTTGCTTTTGGAATGGAAATGCCAACTTGAATTAATGTATAGTTTTAAAAAATTACAGTGTAGTTAAGAAATAATTACATAACATTATGCAACCAAAGAAATAGTGAAGCATTTCCAGTTACGCTTACAATATGAAAATGTATTTAAATATTTAAAGAATGTAGTTTTAATACAGCTTAAGATAATTTGCCAAAAAAATCCTATGAGAGAAGGCTGATAGTGTTGAAACGGAGACTGTTAGCAGTGTGTGAAACAGGCCAAAGCATATGAAAACTTAACAAAGGATACTTGTTTTTAAAAAATGTCTCCCTAGATCTTGAGATTAAAAGAATACCCTGACCCTTTCCTACGTTGTGAGACCCTGAACACCCTTTAGATCCTTACTAAAATATAAAAAAAGGGGGGGAGACCATCATGGCTTGTGTGCAGATTCCCCCCCCCCCAACCTCATACCGTTTTACATGGGGCGTGTTTGCAGGTGGCTGAATCTAGAGTTTGGGATTGATTCATGCTGGAATGAAGGGTTCTGGAGTGAAGGATGGGTGACTGCTTTATCAGACTGCTGATTGTATTGGCAGCACCCTAATTACTGGAGACTGGCCGTAACGTAAGGGAGAGAAAGAGGTTTGTCCTCTATTGTTGCTTTTGCTGTCTTCTGCCACCATGAACTGGCAGAAGCTCTGCTGTAAATAGTAAGCTCAAGCTTTTCAAATCTGTGTACATGCAAATATTAAAGACTATTATAATTTATTCTGGCATTTCCCAAAGATGTAACTTGGAGAAAGAATCCTGAGACGGGCTGTAAAGAGAACATGGTAAAATGAGCTACTCTGCTTTTAGGAGATGTGCATATCAGAGAGAAGTTTCCAGCAGGTATGCCCTTAGGAGTTTCCAGGTGCCTGATTGATTTC